GATTAGTCTTTCTCAGACTTCCTGTGTGCTTTTGGCCAGATCAATGACTTCCTAAGCTTTCATTTCATCTTCTTAAAAATGAGGAGCGCATAATGATTCCTTTCTCTAATCCGCCGCATGTTTATATGGTGAGCACGTCATGCCAGAGCTAGCCTGCTCTTAGCCAGCCCCAACCTCTGAACGGCCCTGCTGGAACGAGCTCTTGGCAACCGAAGTGCGCAAACCCGTGCTCACGTGTCCATCAAGTCCAGGAGCGGGAAACTTGGCCACGGCCCCGTGCCCGGCGCTGTGCAAAGCTGATCCTCTGACTCAGCAAAGCTTGGTGGGGAGGAGGAGGCAGAGATCTCCTCTCCCAGGTGTGTGCCTTGTGTCCCCAGCAAGGCAGAAGTGGTTGTCCACAACCTGTCGAACCTGCATGGTCTTCTCCCTCACCAACACCAACCAAGGCCAGAGTGTCTGGCTTCACGTTCAGGCTCGGGGAGCACCAGCTCAATGTATGAATAAATACATCAGTAAACCACGCTCAAATTAATTCATCGTCAGCTGTTCTGTGTTGTGACTAAAGCAGCAACGCTCCGCCGAACGTGTGTCAGAATGATAGATTAGGACCTTTTTTTTTTAAAGATTGCCACTTAGAACACATTTGGAAAATTGATTCTTTGGATGCTCACATTATACCAGGTCTAGGTCCTGAGTATAACTCAGTGTGAAGGGAGATGATTCTCATCCTAAGCTTACAGAAGTGCTGCACGCTGCAAATCCTGACAAAGTGCATGAATAAAGGTAAGGTGTGGAGAGACAGAGCCATGAAATTACCATGAAATTACGTATTTATACGTCACCTCTATGCCGTACAATTGCTATACGTATTTAAGATTGTTTCGAAAAGAGCCATGAAATTACCAGGGCCTGGTATTTATACGTCACCTCTATGCTATACGTATTTAAGATTGTTTCGAAGTCACCCCTGCAAGGAAGAAGTGTATCTATCTGAATGTACTCTTTATTAGAATAATTATGTTTTTATTTCAGAAGGAGACTGAGATTGTCTGTAGGAATTATCATTCAGCATCTCTTATTCTTTCGCTTTATTCTCCAGTGAATTATATTTCATGGGAAAACATATTTATTCAGAACTTCATTTTGATTTAACAGAAAAATGGTTCTTGCCACGGCAATGTGGAACACTCATTTTTCTGTGTGCTGATTTTTGGCATATAAATGCCAGAAGCCTCTGTTCCCTTTCCTTATCAAGAAAAACTTGCCTGAGATTAATTTCCTCATCATCCTCTCCTTTTAAGGTGACTGTTTTTCAATGCCATTTAAAGACAGAGTTGTGATAAATTCCTATTTTCAATGTACAGATATCAATGAAAGAAGTCTATTCCACAGCAGTAAGTAATTGAATCCAAATGGAAAGGCACAAAAAATGTATGAAATCATGCACTGTTACTGCAGTATGACAAGTGCCTTCATGCATTTTTCTTTCCAAAGACAATTAGTTTTAAAATGATCCAATTGCGAGAGTTTTAAATGTTTTTATACAAGGGAAGGGACATACTTCTGACATCACTTCTTTATAATTGCAGGTTGGAATAATTGAAGACTTCTTATACCAAACAGAAGACAGTTTCTTAAAGAACAAAAAGCTTAGAATAGCTAGGAGGCAGAAAATGAAAATGAAGAAACTTCAGAGTGTTCAGCAACAGTAAAGCCTAAGAAATATTAAACTGTCCCCCAGCAGCCCCAAAGACATGGCCACAAAGAGAACAAGGAAATAAATGCTGGATGTATTTGATATATAGGTCAACAAAAGCTGCCTTTCAACTTCATGAGCCTTCCCTCTGCGTTGGGGCACCTTTAGAAGAAATACTTGCACTTTGTTAGTCTTAACTGGCTGGAATAAACATGCACAAAAGACTTAGCTTGATTCTTATTGCAAATTGTCTTATTCATTTAAATTGCAAAGTCAGCCTTGCACTTTTCTCTCTGTTTCCATGAGGAAGGAGCTATAGTTTACACACACACTTAGATATAGATAATGTCAGAGAACTGCTCAGGGAAGTACCTGCTCACTAGGGAAGTACCTTTGCAGAAAGATTTACTGAACTGTGTGCATGCAAATAGTGGAAAGGGCTCAGATTTTTAGAGAAAGCCCATATGTCTCATAGTCTGTAGCCTAATCCTCTGTAAAATCCTCATGGATCCTCATCATTCAAGAAGCGCTGAAAACAGAGGTCCCTCCATGTTCAGCTGATGGGAATCCAGCCTTACATTGCCTACTTTCCAGGTTACTGCCTTTCACGACAGGTTTTGCTATAAGTGCAAGACGTGATGCTAGAGAAAGTGAAAACGGCGCCCAGTTGCTGCCCACGGTGAAGAGCAGGAGATCCCTATTCCTACGTACGCCCAAAGGATGCTTTTCTCCCTGCCACTAGACACCGCATCCCTTTGGCCTTCAGAGGGACACACATTCCCATATCACCCGGGACCTGTCATAGATGAGAGAGCAATGCCTGGTTTCACAAGTATCAGCCTACTTTTCAATAGCGATCACTATATCAGATGATACTCAACAGGCATCCTCACCCGACACACGCAACCTGTCCTACGATTGGTATTTCCTTCCCATTTACTTGTTTACTTTGTAAGAAAATAACCTTGTCTTATAAAAACAGAATTCACTTTATGGTAATTTCTCATTCATGAGTGACTTCAAAATGAAAAGATAGAAAGAAAGGAAGAATCCATTGTGCCCCAGCCCTAAGATTTTATTAAAAATCCAGGACCTCAAAGGTATTTAGCCACTTAGTAGCCAGTATCTACTTACACAGATAGGAACCTAAATGCAACAGATTTTCATCTGCTAGAGACCATCTTCCTAGGCTCCCAACAATGAACAAAGGCCCATCAAAGCTTTAGCACATCCTTTCTTAGTTTTCAAAAAGCATTTTTTTTTTTAAAGAATAAGTATAAAGAAATCTTTTTGAGAAAATCCGAGGCAGCTTGAGCTCCTTAAACATGTGGGACAGAGAAACAAAGAATTATTGCCCTTTGGAGACAGCATTATTTTGCACGGAGTTGGTTTTGTCAGACAAAATTTTACGGCACGTAGGGGCAATCATCCATCTTTGATGAGCAGGCACACACTAAATCAGGAAGACGGCTCCCCACGGATCACCAAGTCATACACAGCTTGGTATATCATCAGCATGTTAAACAAATACTCTTAATGTGATGTAAGTTGAGTTATGATTTGGCAATATATAGTGCAAACTGATGTACTTTTACCTAGAATTATGGAAAAGAATTAAATGCAATGAAAACGGGTGATCTTTGGGAACAAACGAGCAATATTGCCCATGAGAGAGCACTAGGCCATGCAACATGGAAAAGCCAATTCCAACATGTCTAGAAAATGCTGTGCCTGTGTTTGATGGGCCACTCTAGAGAAAGACACAAGAAAACTCCCATTGACTTTGCTTTCTAAAGTATGAGACTCGCTAGACTTGCCTACAAAATTTAAAAAAAAAAAAAGTTGCCTTTTGAAGAAAATAAGTGCATTATATTGATTCTTTGGCCTCTTAGCTGGGGAATTCCACAGGGAGATGATAAATCCTGTGGCTTCTCTCAGTAAATATTATTTCTCAACACTTATTCCTCTTTTTTTTTTCTTTTTATTTTTTCTTTGGTGGAGGGAAACATTTAAAATCATCCAACCTGTGGTTGCTGAGGCTATTTTAGTCACCTGCACAAGGACACATGTGAGACCACTCCCATAGAGCTGCAATTTCAGGTCACTCTTGTTGCAAAGACTCGTTTCCAAATGAGTGATGGGGGGTTTGCTTCCCTCCATCACATCATTCTTTTGTCACAAAAATGATTTATCTGCTGACAGCTAGGTTCACCGGCCCCAGGCAACTGATGTCAGTTGAAACCACTCAATGAGAAACAGAGAGCACTATACCAATTTGAAAAAAAAAAAGATATAAATACCTATCTCCCCTCCGACTGCCTCATAACTCTTTTGCTTGCTCTTGCAATCATTGCTTCCTTGTATATGCCAGAATTTCTGTACTAAGCCCTGGAAGGGACAACAAGCACAAGTCGAGCAAGCTTTTGCAGGTGCATTTGCTTGGCTACAATGCCAATTATGGCTTACAGAAGATACAGGGTTTGAACTTAATAAACATTTTTTTCACTTTCCTCATTCACAAAGTCTCTCTGTTAAAGGTGTTGCATAAAAAAAACACTTGTAAAATATCAGGATGTGGCTCAGAGCGGCAGCAAACAGCTCTGTAGCTGAAGCAGTAAATGAAACACCTCACGGGTGGATTCTTTGAACTTAATAAACATTTTTTCACTTTCCTCATTCACTAAGTCTCTCTGTCAAAGGTGTTGCATAAAAAAACCACTTGTAAAATATCAGGTTGTGGCTCAGAGTGGCACCAAACAGCTGAAGTAGTAAATGAAACACCTCACGGGTGGATTAAACAGGAGATGCGCTCGTTGGGAAGGACTAACCCAGGAGGTGTCTGATGACAGCCACTGCTGAGGACCAGATCGAACTCTGCTGGTGCTAATGTCTCTCCCTGGTCCGTGACAGGGACAGCGCTCCAGAAAATAACTTGGATCACGTCAGTCACACTGCAAACATCTCCCTCCACTGAAACTTCATCGGAGTCGAAACAAAGGAGAGTAGCATCAAGTTGTCCTTGAAATCTGTCTACAGATGGCAGGCAGCTGAGAGCAAGGGCTGACTCGCTCGGGGAAGCCCCCTTCCTTTGTAGAATTTAGTGCATTAACCCTTTTAAACAAAATACCATTTAAAAAGAAGCCTGATCTTAGGAAATCTATATTCGAAAGAATGAGGTATTAGACAACAAGCAGCATTTCCAAAACAAAGCCCATGGCTAAAATAAGAATTTCATATACACACACGCAGTATGATATTCAAATCAAATTGGAGCATCCTACAAGTGTTGCTTATTCAGTGGCCCTCTCGGCGGCTATATGAGATCACACATCTTTAATCTCAAAGCACAGAACAACAGCAGGCCACAATTCTACATTTCTCTATTTGAACTACAATGATCGGCACAAGAGCCAATTTCACACGGGGCTGTTTCTTGTTCTTGTTGCAATTCATCACGGGAAGACGCGCGATCCGAGATACGTGGGCACACAGTCCATGAATAATACAGCGCATTGCTCTGACCTTTTCAGTTCGCTTTGTAGCGCGATTGGCCAACCGTTCCTGTCCTCCCCTGTTAACCACCCCATTAACCTGCGAAGAAAAGGTGGAACGGACAGACAATTAACCGCCAGAATACTAAAAAGGTTAACATTGAGCCGCACAGCCCTGGCTTTCTTGAGCTTTAATGGGAATTAAGATTCTGCAGTCTTCTTTCCTCTTTCAAAGCCTGCAGTGAAAAATAAGAAACCACACAAGATGAACTTGGTTCTCATTGCAGATTATAATCATGTAGTTCCTTTCAGATGTCACACTCGGATGATTCCAGCTTATGCATGAATAAACCGAGAAGAATGTTTATTTTTACCCCTCTCAAATATGGAGAATATTCAATTAGAGCAGTGAACTTTTTCTTTGAGGCTGGTCACTCCTGAGTAAAGGAAAATTGGAGAAAGTGGAGGCAAAAAGCCCCATATGGCAGTCTTCTTTAAAAAGGTCAATACTTGCGGCATGGGCTCCACTAGCTGAATCATTCTGGTCATTTCCTAGTCAAAAAGAGGAAAATGGTGGTATTTTTCCATCCTGTGGGCTGTCAGCTGCATTAAACTTTCTCCTAGTGTTCACTAAGATCACGAGGGCAGACCGACCCCACATTTCTCAGGCACATATAGAAACTGAGGGAGGGGAGCTTGGGGTGAAGTTTAAGAGCAGCTGGTGAAAGCAGCTGCCCTGTTCCCTTGGAGTAACCAGAAAGGTTTGTAAAAATCTTCCAGATTTTTTCCAAAGATCGCATTGGCACGAATAACACCGAGTTACCTCGGCAGGCATCAGAAAACATTTTCAAGAAATCTGGTAGGCAAAGAAGTTGACATCAAGATTTGATCTGAACTTCTTTGCTCGCGATCACTTTCTAAGCCGTCCTCTGGCGCCCACGCCATGCGGTAACATCTAGGGGTCCAGTCATGGCCCTGGGCCGTTTGATTTTCCAGATGCTGTCACATTCCCATCTTTGTATAAAAGCTCTACTTTGAGTTGGTATTAATAGCAATGCTATTACACACTTATTTTAGATGGGAGAATTGGGACAAGAAGGGGGATCCTGCTGCTAGCCATTAGAACTCCAAATTTCACATTTATTACAGGTATTGGCTGCAATAAGGCAGAGTCTTTTTATTATCTCAGAGTAATAATATAATCCCTAGTTTGCTTAAGGTGAACAGGGATATTGAGACAGGAAGAATTACTAACAAAGAAAAGACAAAGCTTTAAATTATAAAAATGACTTTCTTCGTTTCTCCCTTTAATACATTTTAAGTCCAGAAGGAACCATTACGATCATTTATATGCCAGGAATTTTAACTTTATACTTTTTGATATATGGGATCCCGAATAACATACCATTTCTCTTTACCATTGCTTTTAAACGTTAACATTGATGGACTTATACAAACAATGTATTAAAATATTGGTGCAATTAGGGGCAAGCTCATGAACTAGGACCGATTAGAAAAACACTTCTTTTTTTTCCCCCAGAAGTATAATATGTCTTTTAAGGATAAAAAAATATTGCATTTTTGTAACTCTCTC